AATGAAAAAGTAACACAATAGTTTTCTTCCTCTTTGACATTTTTGAGACTGCATAGCAAACAAAACAATTTGTAATGAAATGCTCGTGTATTTATAATGGATTTAAATAGCTTTCAACCATGTCACTACAGAACTCTAATTCCAACGACCCTCTTGCTAAAATAAGATGGTAAGGCACAAAATGCTAAATAAACCACAAAACAGAGAGTATAGGCATGCCTCAGAAGAAAATTATTGAGACTCCCATGGAGAAGCATCCCACAGCTACCCAAGGACTCAAACGTTCACCTGATTCACAAACCAGAACATCAGCCTGTCAGTAAGAATGCACCTTATAATTGGCAACAATATCTATGTCACACAAACTGACGTGTGTAAATAACAATTTTTTTCCCTTTCCTCGCCATTTCCACTGTTGTGTAGTTTTGTGTATATTCCTACTAATATGACCACCACCACCTACTGATCACTAAAAATATAAAAGACCGACGCACTACCGATAATTATTTTTCTAATAAAGAAACAAAATACTTTTTTCAGTTCAAGCCGTTTGCCTTTGAGGAAATCATCAAATATTTGATTATTTCAATGTTCCAAAAAAATCTAGGAAATTTTGGAGAAACACTTGGATGGACCCTGTCATTGCTCGTCAAGAACAGGTTTGAAGCCTTCAAAGAAGCCTTACGGTTTGCCACACATATTTTTTTTGACACAAATGGAAGTAAAGCAGTCAATTCACAGAGTACAATAGCTAACATCAGAAAATCAAGTGCTGGAAGAACCGAAGAAAAAATGAGAAAGAAATAGTTCAAATCTTTTATAAACTTTTTGTAAAAAAATGCTTGCAAATTGTTCCAGCAAAAGATTCAAGCTTAAGAGTAATTATGAAAATTTGATAAATAATCCTACCTATTCTGGCTGCTTTCCAAAAGAAGCCACGGAACCTGTCAGATTGCAACTCAGTTAAAAAGATAAAATTTTAAATTTAATAATATTTTGGACATAGAAGGTAACAATTTCACACCCAACAACGTCTTCCACCATGATAATCAATCTTTTTTAATATATAAATCAATATAATGGAGTATCAAAACTGTTATTGAACATGCTTGAGACTTGATTTTTTTATGTTTATCTCAATGCAGTATATATCATAAGAGACATGAAGAATATACCCATTTCTCTGTTCAAGAATAGCAGGAAAATGCATCTTCACGTAAGTACAGGTACAGATTCCGAGTAGGATTACTGTCAGAAACGAATGAAAATTGAACAGAGCCGACTGAAAAACCAAAAACAACCATGTCAGTGATTAATAGCTCCAATCTATCCAAGCTATGAGGATCTCCAAATACAAGAGACAAGGATCCTTTACCATGTTTACAGTGCCAGGTATTATCCACGTTAACAATCTTCACTTTCAATCTAGAAATAAGTCAGAAACAAGTTAGCAACTGACCGAAATGAATTTCAATATGCACACATTCATAACTTTCCATGATTATGACGTAAATCGCAAATCGACAACAGATCCTCCTTGATAATTCGACAAATTTACTTCTTTCCACGTTCAAGCATGTAATTCTAAAGTTTCAAGTAAAAAAATTTCACTCCAATTATTGCAAAAGCCACAACTAGATTCTCAAGCCTTCAGTTAGGTTTTCGGATACCACAGAGCTGAACTAAACACAACTCGATGGTGACTATCCCAGTGCAGAAACTGTTACACAATGTAGTTTCGGATACATATGAAAATCTAGAAGAGTAAACCTCGAATTTGATTAAATCAGAGATGGATAACAATGCTAAAACACTAACTTTTTCTCCAACAAAGATCCGAATCTCGCGATGCCCCAAGAAGCAATATGTTCCAACCCAGTAATCCGTAACCTTAAATTCAACTAAATCTTCAACAACCTGATAATAAGAAAAGACTAATCCAAGAAAATCACGGAATGCTTACCGAAGGTGCAGATATGGCGATTAGGCAGGAGATTCTCAGATCGGAATCCTTCAAAAACGAAAAAAGTGGGAGGAAAGGAGCTTCTTGACCCCCCAAGTTTTCAACAGCCGACTTTAGAGCAGCGGCGAGCAAGAGCGAGAACTCCTGAGTGAGAATCTTTCCTCCGGCTGTCAAGAACAGATAATTCCGCGGTTCAGACGACTCTCGACTCGACGATGGCCATTCTTCTCGAATATTTTTAATTATCAAATAAATAATAATGACTGAAAGGTTTATTTTAATTTAAATGAGGGGCATTTTACAAAATATCTAAAATTTTTCGAAAATTAGATTAAATTAAAATGTTGCTGATAAAATAAACCAATTTTAATGGAAAAAATGACCAAAATATTTATTTTGAGATTGCTTTCTGAGGGAGCAACCCAACTGATTTTGAACTATTAAAAAAACTGTGATTTTTATGATAAATTACTGATTGATTCTTTTTGTTTTTCGTTCAACTGATGGTGAAACAATTAAATTTCAATTGCTTTGTTTAAATCTTGAAAAAATAAAATATTTTGGAAAGCTACAACTGTTCTTAACAATCTCGAGAGTAAGAATGTATTAGATGTAAAATTAAATTTTGTATTCAGTAAGATCTCAATTAAGTAAAAGTTTATTAGACACAAATTCAACTTTCAACATCTTAATAACACAATAAAAAATTTATGAATCTATTAAGTGTAGAGACATTAGACACGAACTTAAAGTTTCGATAACTAAACTTGGTAAATTTGAATCCTCATTGTTCACACCTAGCGTGGTAGGTCTGAATCATCATTTTTCACTGCTTCAACTGTATTACAATAAAAAAAATTATATAAAAAAAAATCTTTTTCCATGAGTTTTTTTAGTATAACAAGTATAGAAGCGGAAGGATTTGAACACTAACTTCGAAGGGAGGAATAGATATCTTTTATCCGGCAGTACTTTTTTACACATTATAATTGTAACATTTCATCTCTCTTCAGCATTTTTCATAATCAAAAGGGAGTAAGAAGGAGAAGATGATAAATTCCATGGTAAGCAGAAAAACAACCGTTTTTCCAAGTATCCCACCATAAAGATTTAACAAAAATTGCACAATCCCAAGCACTCCGAACTCTACCCTCAATGACGCTGGTTACTTGGTACTCACTCCTTCATCCCATAGTTTCGAGAACCAAAAATATTATAACTTATTTGTTCAAAGAGAAAAAAGAAAATTCCCCATGAAACAAACTAAAAAAAACTTTCCAATTATACAACTAGAAAGAACCTGGATAAGTATAGTAACAAGGTAGTCCAATTAAGAAATGGATTTAAAAATTTAGGAAAGGTTGACAATATTCAAAAGCAGCGATAACTCGAATACCATGACAGAAATATCCTTGAAACAACACTAGTTTTTAAGCCTAGATCAACTCCAACCTTTTTTTAGAATCTGCGAGTGCACACATAAACTAAGAGTTCACATCTTCAGCATCTCTTTAGAATCAATTCTTCCCCTCTTAGTATAAATGAACAGAGAGAGAATGTCTCGACCTGCTTGTGTTTATATGGGATTGTCAAGCACCGGTTACTTCAACCATTTCCTGATCCACTGTACTTGGTGTCACTGGATAGTAGTTGTAGTGAAGTTCTCCCACATCATCGCCAGAGAGCTTCTTCCATCCATTTGGTCCCACATAATAAACTGATCGGTGACATTCAAATCATGAGTGAGAAGAGGGGAATTTGCACAAGCACATAAATGTGTGTGTATTACAAAGAGAGATAAATATCTAGACAGAAGGATACCGCTGGCAACTCCACCACTTGCTCCATCTCGAAAAGTTGCATGATAAATGGCTCGTCTAGCCAGCTCAGCAGCTTCTTCAACAGATAAGTCATACCTATATCTGCTCAGTAGCACACACAATAGGGTATTCATGAATTAACATACATAAAATCATAGATAAACTCACATTAGATGAAATGATGGACAATTGTCTCAAAAAGAGGGGAAAGAAGAGGGGTAAGAGAAAAGAATATCGAAGAAATGTCTGTACCAACATCATCACGCAAAGCAGTACGTTAGCTCGACAACAGGAAAGACCGAGAAATATAATCACAATTACAAGTTGAGATATAGCTTTCAATTAATTCTAATTGGGAGGCTTTTTGCTGAGCTTCTTTTTACATAAGGCTGTGGGAGAGGTATTGTAGAGAAGGGATGTGGAATTAATTGTATATTTAGTTTGGTGGGGGAGTTAAAAGTTCTCTTTGTTTCTATCTTTTGTACTACCTCAGTGTAACTTTCAATATATATCAAATCAGAGAAATTTTCATGTTTCAAATATATATATGTGTGTGAGAGAGACAGTCCTCACTAGTTTGAGAATATTAATATGGGGGTATTATGGTTGTCTTTGAAGGGCGGGGTAATATGAGAGTCCTAGTAGAGATAGTTTGGGAGCATTATTAGTATATTATTGGGGGATATTGTGGTATTAATTAGGGGTGTTATAAATAGTAGTAGGGAGAGGAGAAGGATAACTTTGGGAATAGTTTATAGTGAAGAAACTTGAGAGAGTTCTTGGGAGAGAGATAGCCCTCTCGAAGGGCTATTGATATTGTAACTATCTCTTTGATATAACAATATAGTAATCTAGTTCCATTTACTGTATTTGGGATTCTAACGATATAATATGTATATATATATATATGTAGATATATATATAACCAGCATGTCACCCTTGCACAAACAAAACATAAGATCATGTTTTTTGCCATCATTTCACAGACATGTGGGAAGACTACATGATTTATCTTGGCAAGATAGGTTCAATTACAAAATTACTGAATTGAGAAATTTTCAAAGACAGCATGATAATTGAGAATCATACTTACCCACTATCCAAGACACCATAGGCATAAGGTGAACCAGATCCAACAGAAAATCTTGTTCCTTTCAGCCTTCCCCCCTCGCTGTCTACGTAATATAGACCAGGACCCTACAAAGCACAGAATTAGGTAAATTATAGATCACCATAAAGTGGGAAAATGAAAATAAATAAATATGTAATTACTGTTTCATCCCATCCAGCAATCATAGTCCCGACAGAGAGACCCATTCCGCGATAGGAGTACAGAATGTTAGCCAATAACTTTGATGCTCCTGCGACTGAAATTCGGCGTTTATTTGCTAGTTCATGTCGGCGGCACTAAATCAGGTTAAACACTATGATCAGCTAATCACAAGATTAAAAAAATCCAAAATATCAACATTGGCAGGGCACAATTAATCCAATTAGGGAAGGATGAATATCTGATTGCACATTTACATGTTGAGTTGAGTTGTTGAGACTGGAAAACTCTAAAAGTGAAGGCAATTAATCAAGATTAACCTCATATATTAAGCAAGCGTACCTATCGAGTTCACAATGATAGTAGTATAAGGTAACCCATTCTTACTAAAATGTTGATAGTCTTACAACTACAAGTAATTGCATATCAGCCAATTACCTTGACACCGAGGTTTCTATGCCAAAACTGGCAATCAGCAGCACCTCCAGCCATTGTGCCAAGCATGTAAGGATTGATTTCAATAATTTTTTTCACAGATTGTGATGCTGAAAAAATTCAAAAACGAATATTGAGTTGAAAAGGAAGAAAGGTGCAAAAATAACAACACGATAACTTACAAAACTTGGAGGGAGGGGAAGACAAGTCAGCATAAAGCTAAACGGGAAATAGTGAATAAATTCATCCATGCTGCATATAGCACCTCATTTATATCATATATGGACACATAATGGAAGAAAATTAACCTCGTAATCACTAAAAAGGTTGAAGTATTCGACCCACAAAACATCTAGAAAATGAATTTCAAATTTGTTTGAAGAACAAATGTAATTAAGTAAACATACATATATAGCCTCCCATGCTAGCACGGGAATCGGCAGCAACCATGACTCCTTCCTTAAAAATGAAAGCCAGAGTGGTTGTTCCTTTTGCCGGCTTCACCATCTGAATGGCTTCTTTCTGAAAGCCATCAAACTGAAATACGGAGAAAATCAAAGTCAGAAAAAACAATAATACAGAACAGTACGCAGCCCAGAAGCCGTATGATAAATGCTTTACAAATTACATCATTGGAATTAGGGATCTCAAAGGATGGAGCAGCTGAAAACCCTTCCAAAATCTCCATTTTTGGCCCAAACAGCGGAGCAGTCGTTTGAAGACCACTGGTATCAAGCTTCATGTTTCAACTCCTGTTACGACCAAAAATCGAGCTGAAGTACAGAGCTCGTGATACAAATAAGTTATCCACATGACAGTATAAAAATTAGAAAAAGAAAAATCCCCAGAACCACCCCCTGCTATGCCGACGACTGAGCTAATTCTACTCCACATAAGTCAATTACGAAAACTTAATTCAGAACACCGAAGAAAAATAAGATTCAACCGTGCCAGGAAAATTTATCAGAACGACTGCATCCAAGAGAAACACTAATTAGCCATCATAATAGATTTGACATTTAAAGATACTTGGAGCTCCTCGACCATCAAAAACTGAATCGTATAATCAGACGTTTAGTACCTCTCCTAAATTTCTCCCATAAATCAAAGCAGACCCTAAAAATCATCAAAATGCATGCAATTTTTTGCAAAAACAGGTCGATATCAAGACCCTAATGATAGACATTGATTCCAATCTGAGATGATTCATGAATCCGCATATGAAATCGAAGAAACATAAGAGCGAAGTCGTGCTACTTCAACTTTACCTTTAACTAGAATCTAGAGCAACGAGAGAAGAAAACGCGAACAGAAAGCAAATAAAGATCCACAACGTCGAAGGAAATGATCGGAATGGAGGGAAAAATGCTGCGAAATTAAGGATATTTACGGGAAAGCCGAAGGCGAGTTTCTTGTCCTCCAGGAAACCAACGGGCTTAATGGGCTTGGGCCACATTTTTCAACTTAGACGGTGGAAACGTATTGGGCCTCTGGGCTTGTTGGCCCAATTTGAACCCAACTCTCTCGTTCTAATTTAATATATAACAAAAATTAAATATCACAAAATAACCACTCAAAAACCAATTATCCGCTTTCTATTGTATTATTGTGAATTAATCTAGAGGGAAAAAAAGTTTCAAACACATCAAAACTACAAAGGTAGGTGGAATCTATTCGCTCTTAATTAACCTTAGTTCATTTGGACCAATGAGTCATCCATAATCGTTAACAACTATTTAGATCTAATCATTAAACTCTTCATTTTTACATATTTATACTCGATTCATTTATTCATTTTACATTAAATATGAATTTATATCATTTTGAAATTTTTTAATAAATGACAAATCATGAAAAAATGTAACAGTTAAGTAGTGATATCATGCGATAAGGTTATCAAACAAAAAACAAAGCTTTAATTATCAAAAAAAAAAAAAAATAGGAGCAATTAATAATTGGTTTACTAATTGCAATATAGTTTTCATGCAAAGAATGTGGACGTTGCCAACTCCTTTCATGTCACATATGCAATTAATAAACCACCCATCCATCCACCCCTCATTATTAGTATTACCATTATTATGGAATAAGAAGAAGGAAAAAAAATTAGGGTCAAATCTCTAAGAGATGATGATATTTAGTTCTGAATAGAATGTTATTAAATAAATTAGTGATAAATAAATACCAATATAAAAAATACAGGTTTGTTTAAACCACAGTAGTAATCTACTTGAGATTTTAAAAACAATTGTATTTCATGTTTCCATCTAGAATCTTTGTTAAATCCATAAATTTTTTATTTTTTATTTCTAATAATTTAATGAGCATGGATAATTTTGGAGTACTTTTAGTTGTTTTTTTTTTAAATAAAGTGTATCAAGGTAAAACTTTCACTTCAATAGATTATGAAATATGACTAAAATAATATA